CACTACACTCCACTACGCTGCATTACACTACACTACACTACCTTCCACTACACTCCACTACATTACGCTACACTACAGCTACAACTACAACTACATTCCGTTACCCTCCCCGACACTAATTTACACTACACTAAATTGCACTACACTACACTACATTACACTGCACTACACTACCTTCCACTACATTCCACTACACTACACTACAGTACACTACACTACATTAGACTGAATGACACTGCACCCTAGATAGACAGGTAGACGGATAGACAGACAGACAAACAGATAGATAGATAGATAGATAGACAGGTAGACAGGTAGACAGATAGACAGATGAAAGAGAGAGAGAGAGAGAGATAGATCGATAGATAGATAGATAGATAGATAGATTGGTAGGTAGGTAGGTGCACCATAGATAGATAGGTAGACAGACAGACAGACAGACAGACAGATAGATAGATAGATAGATAGACAGGTAGACAGCTAGACAGCTAGACAGATAGACCGATGAAAGAGAGAGAGAGAGAGATAGATAGATAGATAGATAGACAGGTAGACAGCTAGACAGATAGACAGATGAAAGAGAGATAGGTAGATAGATAGATAGATAGATCGATCGATAGATAGATAGATAGATAGATGGATAGATAGATAGATAGATTGGGTAATTGAATGAAAGAAAGAGAGAGAGATAGATAGATAGATCGATAGATAGATAGATACATAGAAAATAGATAGGTAGGTAGGTAGATAGTCAGAGAAAGAGAGCGAAAGAAAGGAGACCTCAAGCACCTTTCGGTCCATCAGTGGCTTCGCTCTGCCATCCCTGATTCACAACAACCAACCTCTCCTATAGGTTTCCTATTTTTGAAACTTCCGCCACCGCCTTGTGCGGTACTACTGGTATATAATATGGTCAACCAAGAACCCCACGGAAATACATGGATTTGACCCGCAAGAGCCTTTAAAACGATTCGGCGGATCATTGCAAATCTCACAGGCACAGCCACAATCGCTTATACGACCCCCCCTGAAGAGCTTCGCCCAATGGTATGGGCTCAAAAGCAAAGAATCGCTACGACTTTGACCTTTGACTGTACTGATTGTCCCTGGGTACTCGGAGCGTGTAGGTTTCGTACTCTCTTAATCCGAGGCTGCCCTGGTGCAGCGTCGTGTAGGGATACTGTCTTTTGTCTTGGCTGGAGTCCGAACGTTGCAGCCGCACTGAGACTAAGTCAAATGATGCCCTTCTAACCCAAGGCTGCCCTGGTGCAGGGTTGGGTAGTGAGAGTGTGGTTTTCGCACTGTCACTACCCGGGCTCCGCTGTTGTTTCAGAAGCGAGTAAGTTAAATCCAAGCCGAATTTACCATATTTACCAAAGCCGTATAGCTGGCATCGGATAGTGAACTTGAATGACATGTTGCCGCAGCCGTTTTAAGGCTTAAACCCAGGTGCCTTAGGGCCGTGCGGCGGGCGGTGCGGGCCATGAGCCATGGCGGACGAGCGCGTTGCAGTGCCGAAGACTCCCCCTGAAGCGCCTCCTCGGAGGGCTGACGACGAGGATCGTCGAGATGACGAACCCGAAGGGAAGCCTGATGACGACAACGGCGACGCTTCCGACAATAGTCGCCGCCGAGCAGACAGGACCCGGCTGGATGACCCTGGTCATCACGGTCGCCACAGACGCAAGTCCCGTTCGCGGGACCGCCGTTCACGGCGGGATGAGACGCCCCGGCGTCAGGACCGGGAAGAAACGCCGCCGGACCCGAAAACGGGCTACGTGACGTGCGGGGTCTGCAACATGCAGGTGGGCGGTGGCTGGTATATGGGTACCAATCCCATTGCCAGACCAGCAAGTACCACCAAGCCTGCGCTTTCTACGTGCAAGGTCTTCCTTGGCCGCAAGCGCAAGCTCGCGCGGCGAAAGACTGGGCCAAGTGGCACTCTGGCGCCTCGGCGTCAAGAACCCCTGCACGGCAACCACCGGTGCTGCGCGAGCGGCGGTCCAGGTCACAACAACGAAGAGACCGAAGGGGATCCGAAACACACATTTTTAGATAACCGACGCAACCGACCAAACAGGCACGCGTTTGTTCTTCTGCTGCCCCAAGCAGACAAGCGTCTGTGTCCTTTTGCTCCATATAAATGTGCGTTTGCAAACGTCCCATTGAAGTTTGGAATTTCTCCCATTTTTCTTATCTGTACAAGTCCCCCAATCAAGAAACGAAATAAGATTGTAAGAGTCTAACCCCATGCCCCAAAGAAAATCACCACCCGGCCCCTGCCCAACCGTTTTCTCAGAGAGGCCTGAGAGACCCCAGTTTGAAACACACCCAACATATGATCAATGTTCAAAACCTTCTGTCATCTCTACACACTTGTTTGTTGATCAGGGTTCCGAAAACGTTCGTCAGTTCTTGCGCCACAATTGATCAACTAGCGGCTTTCTCTGATGGCTGTAGCATGCTGTAGCCAACAGGGCCTGGACCATGGCGATATTGCCGTAAACCGTAAACCACTATATTGCTGTTGTATTTTTATTGCATTGACAGTTGAACCAACAAAAACCTGCAACGCATGGTGAGAAACATGCAGAAAATAATGACCAAACCTAACCAGGTACAGTGGGTACAGTATGAAAATGCATACGGAACGCTAACTCGTGTAACTTCTAAGATTTTTTTGCCTATAAGCTACGAGTTCCATAGATCATGTTCTTCCAAGCAAGTTTAGAATTAGAAGTCAAACTTCCGATTTAGGACAGATGCGGCAACAGTCTTGGGAAGAGTCAGGGAAGAGAGATAAGTAGACAGAAGATTAAAATATATTAAAATTCCACCAAAATTAGAAAAGTCGCGACACATGCTGTTTTTCCCAGGCTTTGCGGCTCCGGAGAGTCTTTCTAAAGCGGCGGGCGCGGAGCCGTTTGGCGGGATGCGTCCAAAAAGTGCACGCGACTGCCGAAGTCAAAATGCTACAAAACACTTCAGCATCGGAACGCTTTTGGAAGTTGCGCTGTTGAAAACGCGCACGCGGCTGTGGCGCCAAGCATGTTTCCAAGTCAAAATGCTGAAAACACTGCGGAGCGCTTTTGGAAGTTGCGTTGCTCAAACAGTGCACGCAGCTGCGGCGCGAAGCACATTTCGAAGTAAACAATGAAAAGCACAAAAAAACACCGCATGTTCGGAGCACTTTAGACGTTCAGCCAGTGTTTTCGTAGTAGGCGCAATGCATTCTGCACCTGAACACACGTGCACTGTGGCTTTCACGGGAGCACCTGCTTTCTTGTCAGCTTTCGCGGGGCTTTCGGAGCTTTCGCGGCAATTGACTTCGCAGCTACTTTCGCGGCCCTTTCGTGGCTTGCGATTTGACTGTCGCGAAAGCAGCAGAGTTAACAATTTGTATAAATTCTTTCCCTGGGGGTTCTTCAGCTGCTCATGGGCCAAACGTGAAGATTTTGCAGCACTTGCAAAAAACGGTGGCAGGGCAAAGATGGATTTCGCGCGGCAGGTGGCAGGTGCAGCTTAAGAGACATCTGACATGTTAGGAGGCTGATTTCCTGAGAGAGGTTGCAGTTTGGAGCATCAGACCGTCAGGTTCCCGAAGATGACTTTGCATGACAAGTGCAGCACTTTGTATGACCTGGCCGCACTTTTTTCGCATCGCAAAACGCAATGGTACGGTGTGGCATCAGCTGCCTCGCCAACATTTCATTTTGTAGGAAGCATTAGGAAGCCTTGTAGACTTGCTTCGCTTTAACATCTTCAACTTGCATTTTTGCAGGAAGTCTTGCAGACTGCCTTCGGTTGTACATCTTCGTAGGACGTCTCCCAGAACTGTTTTCGTTGTTACATCTTCAACTTGCAAGATAGATGGGTAGACAAGATAAATGGGAAAGGAAAGGGAGATAGACACATTGACAGAGAGACTTCAGGTAGATACATAGACAAGATGCATAGATGGGTAGACAAGATGGATGAGTAAAAAGACGGACAGATAGATATATAAATTATGATAAACTAAGAGATAGATGGACAGATGGATGGATCGAAAGAAAACAAAAGGGTAAAGGGATCAAAAGCTAAATATAACGACAGTTCGGTGGACAGACAGACAGACAGACAGATGGTCGGATGGATGGAAGGAAAGACAGATGGATAGATAGACAGATAGACAAGATAGATAAAACCGAAAAGACAGATAAGACAGATAAGATAGAAAGATAGACGGACAGAAAGATGGATGGACATAAAGATAGATAGATGGATAGACAGATAGATAGGTGGATAGATGGAAAGATAGAAGATAGACAGATAGGTTGGCTAGATAGATGGATAGGTTGACTGGATAGGTGGACTAGATAGATAGACCAGCTAGATACATAGGCAGATGCAAAGATGGACAAGTACATGGATAGATCGAGCAGATAAACCGGACAAAGAGACCCATAGCAGGGCAGGTGGCCCTGTTGGCCATGCTGTCTGCAGCCAGTAGGTCTGCATCCGCTTACCGCTGCATGCATTGGGGCATCCGGTGAGTCAGTCCGTAGGTCCAGCCGTCGTGCATCCGCTGAGCACTGCATGCACTCCAAAAGCCGACACTCCAACCACCCGTCGGTCCGTCAGCGGCCTGCTCTGGCGCCCATGCAACTCAGCAACCCAACGATTCCTACAGGTTTCCTATCATTGAAACTTCCGCCGCCGCCTTGTGCGGCACTACTGATGACTGATTATCGATATCTTAGATATATCTTGACCATCTGTTACCCAACTTTTCCCACAAGCAAACCCCACCTACAATACCTAAGTTAAACCTACTTATAGCTCAGCGCAAAGCTAGGGGGCAACACCTTGGATGAACTCACCACAAACGAATCCCCGAACTCAACAGTTAAAAATGTTAAAACCACTTGGCGTCGGCAAAGAATGCTCAACAAGCTTTATTTCCAGTCTTCTCCTATTTCGAACATTCCTTGAACCCTCTTCACGCTGGATTCCAAGTGCTACCAAGGGGCCATCATTGCCAGTCGTCCATTAGCCAGCTCGGCAGCGAGCTTGGTCTTGCGCGCTTCAGGGTCCTCAACCTTGCCCAGGAAGGTGGGAAATCCGACGCCGTAGTTGCCTGGCTCGCCTGTCTCAGTGGAATCCTTCATGCTGAACTGACCCTCACGAGGGCCGCGTCCATCCGTGGTGGAAGCTGCCTGGAAGAACCCAGTTGTCTCAATCAAACCAGCGAAGGCAATGATCTGGGCACCGCCAAGCACTGGCAGCCTTAGTATATTAACTCAACATGACAAATCACCTCCAACCATTCTGCTCTTTACATCTGCAGAGATGCTGGAACTCAAAACTGATATGGAAACTCATCGCGTGCGCCGCGTGCGCGGCTTGCAAGTAAGCACTTGGCTTGGACAACGCTGCAAGGCCATTTGGCACATCGGCAAACTTAAGCCCAAGAGATGGTGAAAGGTATCCTGGGAACTTGTAGTACTCCGGAACGATGTAGCCCATGGTTGCATACATGGCCTCAGGCAAATCTGCGCGACGTGATTCAAATCCGAAACGCCTTGAATCGTGATGGGTCGCGCGAAAGAGCAGACTGCAATGTCTCAACAACCTTTTTCTCATCATGGAGCAGCCCCCCAGCAGGGCGAGGGCGGAAGTTTCGAAAGAAGATATGCAGCAGCAGGACCTGGAGGACCTATAAGGAACCACTTCTTTGACTTCATCACCGGGAAGATTGAAAAAATGAAAGTTGAAAAATGCAAAATTTGAATGTCCAGACGCCCAAACGGTTACATGAGAAGAAAGCCAACAAAACAATGGGTTGACCCACATCACGAATTCACATCATTTTTCCTTTGTCTTCCTGACTGGCTCCTCTTGTTTCCTTCGTATTCCTATGTTTCCTTATTTTTCTTGTTTTCTCGAAGTTCTCGCACCTTTCGCTTGTCCAAACATTTGGGCCAAATTTCGGCTGGCCCCTTCAATTTGTTCCATGTTTTTGTTTTTCATTTTTTTGCTACATTCCTTTTTCCGGGAATTCTCGGGCAAAATTGACACTTGCAAAAGCTTTCAAAAAATTGCGAAGAAAATGAAAAATCATTGGAAATTATTGCGTGCCTGTTTGCCAACTGGAAACATTAAAATTGCAAGATCTTCGAGCAATCACGCAGAAATAGGAGTAGTGAAAAACCAGCAATTTATTTCTTCTGTTTCCAACTTTTCGTTTCCCCCAAAATTTTGCGAAAGTTTCGCAATTTCTCATGGTTTCCAAAAAAACAAGCGCAATGGTTTCCTATCCGGTTCCTATTTCTCCCTTTTCTTGGAAACTTTGCCCAGGATTTTGCAGTTTTCAATTGAGGGGGGAGAAGAAACAAGAACATAGAACTAATTCGAGAAAGATGGAAAGGATCCAAAATGACTTCCAAAATTTGAAACATATCTGGAAGAACGAAACTGCAAGAACTTCGAAAATTCAAATCTAAAAGCGGGACATATAGGAAACATGAGAGAAAAAGGAAAAGCAAGAGGAATGAGGAAAACATCGGAATGCTAGGGTGAAAAATCGCGCTGGTTGTCTGGTGCGCCCGTAACTCAAAGGAATAAACGGTTGAATGCCTGAATGGTTGAATGACATGATGGTGTGACATGAAACGACATGAAAATAGAATAGAAGGAACAAGGAATGGCATGACTTGAGCTGGCAACGTAATGACATGAGCAAAGGCTAGGCTGACTGACTGACTGACTGGCTGGCTGACTGGCTGACTAAATCAACCACTCCATGAATAGATGAATGAACGGACAAAGTTAACGAGTGAGGGACTGATTGGGTGAGCGATTGGACGCGTAAATGAATTCATGAAGGAATGATATGAATGAACGCAGGCAAGCACGAATGCACGTGTGAATGAATGGATGAATGAGAGAAAGATAGAGAAAGAACAATGAACGAACGAACGATTGACTGACTGACCGATCGGCTCGCTGAACTGCGGTGAATGAGCGAGAACGAATTAACGATTAGACGAATGAATGAGAAAACGAGATATGAATCTCCCTGGCCGACGTCTCCCTCCCCACCGACATGGGAATGCTAACACCCTTGCCTGCTATGATTCATTACTCACAGAGGTGGACTGAGAAGGCTGGCCTCCGCATACATCACGCAATATATGTACAGGACTCTTCAGCAACACGACCGTAGTGGCGAATGGACTGCATCACTGCGTGACGGTAAATATACGGAGTCACTCATATGAGCATTTACATGTCCTTAGATTAATTGTGACTACTGCTTCCTCAGTTTGGGCGGGATCATCTTGTGAATGCTAGGCACATTCATTACACAGATATATAACAGTGATATACTAGACAGGAAGCGAGCTATTGTTAATCACTGCAGTTCAATCGGTAGAAGACACATATGATTGAAGTGAATGACATGAATGAGATGAAATGAAACTAAAGGAATGGAAATGAATGAAAAAATCGCTGACTGACTGAATGAACGGTTGAATGAATGAATGAATGAAGGAAGGAAGGAAGGAAGGAATGAACGAATGAATGAACGAACGAATGAACGAATGAACGAATGAACGAATGAACGAATGAACGAATGAATGAATGAATGAATGAGTGAATGAATGACTGAATGAATGAATGAAGGAATGAATGAATGGGCTGAAGGAATGAGGGAATGTTTGAATGCAGAAAGCAAAGGAATAAATGAAGGAAGAAAGGAAGGAATGAAGGAATGAAGGAAGAAAGGAAGGAATGCAGGAATGACTAACTGAATGACAGAACAAACGAACGAACAAACGAACGAATGAACGAAAACGAACAAACGAACGAATGAACAAACGAAAACGAACGAACGAACGAATGAACACATGTGTGAATGAGAGGTAGGATGACGGAATGAGGGAATGCACCAATGCATGTATGAAGAAAAGCCTGAAAGAAAAAGTAAATGAATGACTGAACGGGTGAATGAATGAATGAATGAATGATTGAATGAATAAATGAATGAATGAATGATTAACGAATGAATGAATGAATGAATGAATGAATGAATGAATGATATTGAATGATTGAATGAATGAACGAACGAATGAATGAATGAACGGATGAATGAATGAATGAATGAATGAATGAATGAATAATGAATGAATGAATGCACGAATGAATGAATGAACGAACGAATGAATGAATGAACGAATGAACGAATAAACGAACGAATGCATGTCTGAAAGTAGGAACGAACGAACAAACGAAGGAAGGAAGGAAGGAATGAACGAATGAACGAATGAGCGAATGAACGAATGAACCAATGAACCAATGAACGAATGAACGAATGAACGAAAATGAACGAATGAATGAATGAACGAATGAACGAATGAATGAATGAACGAACGAACGAATGAATGCATGTCTGAAACTAGGAACGAATGAAGGAACGAACGAACGAGCGAGCGAGCGAACGAATGAACGAAGGAAGGAAGGAAGGAAGGAAGGAAGGAAGGAATGGGGGGAATCAATGAGTGAAAGACTGACAAGCAAGGTGACTGACAGGCAGGCTGACTGACTGAGTGACGGACCGATTGACTGACTGATTGACTGACTGACTGGCTGACTGACTGACCCACTCACTCACTCACTCACTCACTCACACTGACTCACTCACTGACTGACTGACTGACTGGCTGGCTGACTGACTGACTCACTCACTGACTGACTGACTGAATCAATCAACGACTGAATGAAGTAACGTTTGGTTTGGTTTGGTTGGTGGTCTAGGTGAGACCGGGCTCGCGCTTCCGCCTCCGGGCCGAAGCTTGGGGTTCAAGTCGGCCATCTAGAACTAATGCAGCGAAGATGCAGCTTCTCAAGGAGAAGAAAAAATGAAAAAAAAGGCCGAGCAACGACGTGAAGCGCCGTGACAGCACTGGGCGCAGAAGGGAACAAGAGGTAGAGAAACAAAAAATGGAGGTACTGCAAAGGGTCCGGAACCGGCGGACAGCAAACCAGGCGCAAAGAAGATTGACAAACAAGAAAGTGGAGGAATAAAGGGAAAGGCCACACCGAACACGGGGTCAAAGGGGGCCAAGGCAAAGCCAAACAACAAAGAACCTCAGCAAAAAGAATAGCGAGGGAAGATATGGAAGTTATGGAAGGGCCATTGATCCTGAAAAGGGTACCCGTGACATGTTTCACTATCAACGGGGCTCATACGGCGATCTACGGCCTTGTTGGGATATTATTGCCAAGCACATTTAAGGCAGAGCGCATGTCTGCTGAGGCGAAACCCCATACATACCAGGTCTCCGAGGCTGGTGGGAAGATGATGGAAGATGACAGTCAGCTTGACACATAGAGGCTGATGCGCTTGTTCATCGACGATGCACGTGTCAGGTGAGCCCGGCGGGCACAAACATCAAGATGTGGGAAAGCTTTGCGCAATCAGGTTCTGCCACAAAGCGAAAATACCGAAAATGGTGTGATGGTTGACGAGTTCCATCCCAGGAACTGGGGATCAGACAAAGACTAGGGGAGGAAGCCACTAGGCCAACTATCTACTAACCGGTGCTAGATTCGGAGCCTAGACTCACGAACACGTGCGGTGAAGCGCGGTAGACTTCACCATAAGCCACAAGCCAAGGAGGACAGGCTGCTCAGCAACTGGCAATGCTCCCAATTAGAATGCTATAAACTATTCAAAACCCTGGTTGCACTCACGCACTTGGCTGGGTTCAAAAACGCGGTGAAGATGATAGCACATCAACGCCAAGCTGTAAGTTTCGGAGAGGCCTGTCCTGCCAGTTGTACCGAGGCAGCAGGAAGAAGACACAGAAGGGTCGAGCGCTGGAAGACGGATGAACAAAGGGGCAGACAGGGAGATTTTGGGGGCTGCCCTCTACATGCCCAGTGGCGGTGGCGAGCAAACAAAGAAGAAAGACAGAACTCAAGTTCTCAAGTTGGACAAAAGCGCTGGGCATACGCCGGCAGTGAGTGAGCATGGTCACCGCTTCAAATCCCCAAACCTCCGCCAAGATGTTGGGTAGAGGATGACTAGGAAGGCGCTTGAGAAGGACGTGACTGACAATGCAACTGCAACCAGAATTCGAAACCATACCCGGACAGAAGGAAAAGGCCAGGAGCACAGGGTGCGAAAATTGAAAGACGAAGGTGGAGGTTGCGAGCAAGAGATCACAACTATCTGCAAAATAGATGGGGCCTAGTCCAGAATCAAGCGGCTCAGTAGCCGATGAAAGGGATCCTGTAGCAAGCCAAGCCCCCTGTGGAAGCGCAGGGTAATGAATGGGCTCTGTGAAGCAATGCCAAGATTGCCGGCGCTTCGTTGGGCACATGGCCAGGAGGAAAGTGGGGAATGGCAAAGAGAAAGGAAGGCATATAGCATAGCATCATAGAAGAGCACTGCGAAGAACACAGCGGGGACAGAAGAGCCAAGAGTGTTGGATTCAATCCCGGGCCTGAAGGGCCAAGCTGCGGCCAGCAACAAA